TATGGTACAAGGGGGTAACAAGTTTAAGAAACAAGGTAAGAACAAAGGAAAGGGTAAGCCAGGCTGGACTGCAAATCCAAGCAAGCTTGATTCTTCTCCTAAGTTTAAGCCTGGTCCTTCTAATGTTGATAAGTGCCATTATTGTAATGGTTCTGGACATTGGAAAAGAAACTGTGAGAAATACTTGGAAGATCTGAAACAGAAGAAGATTTCTGAAACGTCATCTTCAGGTATTTATGTTATAAAAAGTAAATGTTACTATTTTGACTCTATTTCCTTGGTATTTGATACCAATTGTGGTACTCATATTTGTAGAAATATGCAGGGCCTAAAGAACAATAGAGTCTTGGAGAAAGGACAAGTGGACCTTCGCGTGGAAAATGAAGCAAGAGTTGCTGCATTAGCTGTAGGAATATTTCATTTGTTTTTGTCTTCTTGCATGGTTTTGGAAACTAAGAATTGCTAATATGTATCTGCTATAAGCAGAAATATTATTCAATTGTTTGGATGTGGAAGGTTTTCATTTTTTGATTAAAAGACAAATGTTGTTTATTTAATCATTGTGATATCTTTTATAGTTGAGGTCTATTAGAGAATTGACTTTATATTCTAAACCAAAGCGTGCATGCTTATAACATTAGTACCAAAAGATTCAAGTCTTATGACACAAATCAAACTTTTCTTTATCATTGTCGTTTGGGCCACATAAGTGAGAAGAACATCAAAAGCTTCATGGTGATGGACTTTTGAGCTCATTTGATTATGAATCATATGAGAAATGTGAATCTTACATAGGGTAAAATGACTAAGGCTTCTCTTACTGGACATAGTGAAAGAGATAAAAGACTTGTTGAAATTATACATACTGATGTATGTGGACCAATGAGTATAAATGTTAAAGGAAAATATATGTACTTTATGGTTATGTTTATCTAGAAACATAAGTCTGAATCTTTTGAAAAGTTCAAAAATTTCAGAATAAAGTACAAAATAAACTTGACAAGAAAATTAAAGATATTCGATCTGATCGAAGTGGAAATATTTGAGTCAAGCGTTTAATGATCATCTTAGAAAATGTGGAATTGTTTCACAAACTACTTCTCCGGGAACACGACTGTCGAATGGCGTGTATTTGAAAGGAGAAACCAAACTTTATTAGATATCGTTTGGTCAATGATGAGTCGTACAGATCTTCCATTATCCTTTTGGGGATACACTTTAGAAAAATCTGTGTTTACTTTTAAAACCCCACTGAGAACAAATTGTTTGTTGATTGTAGTGGTGTTATTCTAGAAAGAGAATTTCTTTCCAAGAAGAACAGTGGGAGTAAAATACAGCTCGAAGGAGTTCGAGAAATTCAGGAAGTTCTCATAGTAAAAGACATGGGAAAGGCTACACATGTTCTTGGAATAAGAATCTATAAAGATAGATTAAGTATGTTGAATTATGTAAAGATACTTATATCGATAAGGTCTTGCATATATTCAAAATGCGTGATTCCAAGAAGGGCTTCTTGCAAATGTCTCATGGCATAACTCTTAGCAAGAATCAGTGTCCTTCAAAACATGATGAGCGAGAGCAGATGAGCAGAATCCCGTATGCTTTGGATATATGATCTATCATGTATGTCATGACGAGTCGATACCAATCTGTTCCAGGTGAAAGTCATTGGACAACAGTCAAGACTATCCTAAAGTATTTAAGAAATACTAAAGATAAATTCTTGATCTATGGAATAAGTGATGAACTATGAGTGGTTACACTAATGCCAGTTTTCAAACGGACAAAGATGGTTTCCGATCACAATCTGGTTTCATCTTTTGTCTTAATGGAAAAGCATTGAGCTGGAAAGGTTCCAAGAAAAGTACCGTAGAAGAGCCTCAACGGATGCAAATGTTGCTGATCTATTGACCAAGCCTCTTCCATAGCCTAAGCATGAGAGTCATGCTGCAGTTGTGGTCATTAAGTATATTAAGATGTGATCTTGATTTTAGTGGGAGATTTTACGTTTATGATATGATGTTCATATATTTACATACATTTGAATATGTATTCAAACTAATGAAATTGTTTCAGATTTATTTGATTATTGGATAATTAAATAAATGTCCCAAAATAATTTATATTATTCTTATAGGCCATCAAGTGCGTGACTTGATCATGAAACCCTATAAGTGAAAGATGTTATAAATTATTGAGGTCCCTAGTCAAGGTTGTTAACATGGGACATTAATAACCATGAATGGCTAGTATGTGAGGTGATTGATGACTAAGTTTCATGGAGTCATTCAATATGTGGTATTGAAGTCAATCACATGGATATGTGTTAGGGAACACATGATCGGACTGACCCGCTATGAGAACTCTACAAGATTGTTATATGAGTGTCATAAGAGTTTCTCATTACGACTATAGAGTATANTGTGGTATTGAAGTCAATCACATGGATATGTGTTAGGGAACACATGATCGGACTGACCCGCTATGAGAACTCTACAAGATTGTTATATGAGTGTCATAAGAGTTTCTCATTACGACTATAGAGTATAGTCCTTAGACCTGAGTTCGTCATGATTCTTTATTGATGGATTAGTTCACTTTGACCTTGTCAAACGTCAGCCATAACTGGTGATTATAAAGGCATCGATTAGGTGTTCTATGAAGTTTGTAAAGAACATGGATGGAACAAGATGGGATTTGTCCCTCCCATATAACGGGAGATAAATATCTCTGGGCCTATCGAAGATTTGATACTGAGAAATGCATGGCCATGCTCAAACGAGGTGAATGTCAGTCGTTTGTTTTATCAGTATAAATCAGAGTTCGGTAAACATGATCTAGCTCAATAAGGATGACACTAGTTCTTGACTTATGCTGAGATCGAGATATAGAGACAAAGGGATTATAAGAATAGATGATTCTAGTACAAGTGGGAGATTGTTGGGAATGTCCTAAAATCATTTGTACTTACTCTGGTTAAAGTCGAAACGTCGAGGTTTGACAATCATATAAAATTGGCTGGTTGTAATGTTTTGCTAGAAACTGCTTATAATCTATAGATTGAGAATCTATTACTAATATTATATGATCCTATAGGGTCACACACCTAAGCAAATTGGATTATAATTATTTTAGGGTTTATATATTTATATTATATATATGATATATAATATAGATATAATACATACATATGTGATATGTACGTAACTTATATATGCATGTAATTTGCAATAGTGTTTTCATGTGGGCTAGACTAATTAATATTAATGGGCTAAACTAATTAATATTAATGGGTTTAGTCCATAATTCTAATTTGATTAGAATTAGGTTTGATACACGTAAGTATATAATGTTATGAAGTTGACGTTTTGTTTATGACACACAAAACGAAAGAGAACGTGACGGCTAAACCCTAAAAGAGACAAAAGAGTTTGTCAAGTTTTTGAGATTAGATCTCGACGGCACTAGCATCCCGTATTGATCCAGTTTGTGTGCGTGTGGATACCGATAGAGGCACGACGTTTGGAGTGCTTGAAATCTCGACTTGGTTGTTTATCTTTCCGCTGCAAAATAACCAGGTATATCCGAAACCCTAAGATCTAGATTTATTTTAGTATTGGCATGAGATTCTAGGCAAATAGAATTCATAAGTTGATTTATAATCGTTATAAACCGGTATGAATTCCTTCAGTTGTTACCTTGCCAGGAACGAAAGCATCCATGAGTGCTGAAGTCGAAGGATTTGGTTCTCTCATGCGAATCCCCATGTAAGGATCACAAGATAAGTAAAGATTTTTCACCAAAATCGCCTTGGATCCAGGCTTAACCTTGAGTTCTATAGCGCCATCAACCGCGACAATCATTAGATCATATTCATTTGGGAAACCCTTAACGTAATCTCTAAGTATTAATTGCTTGTTTCTCACGGTTGTCTCCATTTTCTGAGTCAAGAAATGCTTGTTTAGTCAGATTTATATATAGTCTGAAAAACTTAAATTAGGCTTGTTAGGTAACATGCATGGACTCAATTGCATCCATTAAGCATGTTTGGCACGATTATAACCGAAGAGCTGTCGGACATTTCTAGGCTGTGAAAATGACTAGTGACTAATAAACACGTTACATGAAAGGCACTAGATAAGATATTTGAACATAAGTAGTTGTAGTTTTTTTGCCATGATTTGTAAGTGGTGCACACTAGCACACTGAGTGATTAACATAAGAATTAGATAGGTTTCACAAAAATAAAAGTGGGTTTAACAAAAATAAAAGTTTATGATGACCGTCTAGCTATACGTAGTAGACGGTCTTGCACATGGATGCTGCAGCTCCAACGAGGGTCATGGGTTTGTAATATTGTGCCATGATCATCAACCGTAACACCTTGCGCAAATTCCACTTGCACTAGTTCGAGGCATTCCGTAACTCCCCCAAGAATACTCTTCAAGTGTTCCAACTCATTAGGAGTTCCTCCATAGCCAAGAACATGAAACACCTTCACTTTGAGCAGATGCATGGTAACATCGCCTGTGTAATTATCCAGACCCTGGAGAAGTATCAAGTAAATAAACCAACAACTAACTCAATCTCTCTCTCTCTCTATGTATCCTTTAGATGGGTTTTTGATTATTTGAAGAAATATACCTGGATGATTAGAGTATTGAGCTTTGGAGACTGCTTGATAAGGTAAGGCAGCAGTTTCCAGCCTCGTTTGTTGCCACCCCAAAAAGATAAGTTAACCAGATTCTTGAACACCGGTAGAATTAGTCCGTGTTTAACACATCGAGAAATCACCTGAAATATCACACATATATATGCTTCAGAATGAGAATGTCCAACCTGCTTTTTTTTTGTGAGTTGTTAAAACTTACATTAGCAGAAGCAGGAGTAAGATGCAGGGTGGCGACGTTGCATATCCCATTAATGAGACCAGACATATCAGGCCTCTTGATTAATTTAGAATAATGAATATTCAGCCTAGCTTCGAGTAGGGAAGCCAAGTCAACTTGTGGGTACTCTTCCAATGCATAATCAGAGTAGTCGAGAGAGACAAGATTCGGTGCGTAAAATGACATACCAGGCATATCTGTAATCACAAACTCAAACTTGTAGTTAATTGATAGTTTCTTAAGGCTCCTACTGGATATGAAGAATGGGATTCCTTCAAAATTCAGGTGACGTACAGACATCTCCTCGAGGACTGGGCAACCAGGAAGAAGCACATCACACAGATCTCCATAACTGAAAAAGATGGAATCGATGAAGAGACTCTTGAGCGCTGGAAGAGACACACCTGGAGGAATGTTCCCAAGAGATAATTGTGATCCCAGTGTCAGCTTAACCAGCGTCTTGCTCGTGACGAGCGCACAAGGCAGAAAGACTTCACAAGTAGTCCATAAATCTAGGTCCATTTCCAAAACACCACGCTCGACGGCATTACATATCCAGCGGCTCACATGAGCCATCTCGCTTTTCTCGATAAAGTGACATGTCAGAGAGAATTTCTTGATAGGAGAAGAAGCGCATTGGAAAGAGAGTGTTGTATCCACAAATTTCCTGAAGCTCTCCCGGATCAAATCCCAGTTTCTTCCACCTTCTTCTTCCGGTTGCCGCACATCATAATCATCGAAATCAAGATTATGACGAACTAATCTAAACACATGCCTCCACTTTTTCGATAAAACCGTTGTTGATGTGGCTTGTTTTGTCGTAAGTAAGGACAAGATGCTGCCTAGAACCTCATCAGGAAGCCAGCTGATGAAATCTCTCAAGCCATCGTCTTCTTTAATAGTGCCTGAAACATCAATGTGTGGCTCAGAGAGTGATTCCACTTGTTATAAGCTATACAGACTTGTTGAGCACGCAAATAAAGGTAAAGGTTCAAACGTTAGCCGATTAGTGCAAAGTTCAACAGTTTCATTTAAACTCAAATCTATCTATAATCTAGTGGAAACTGAAAAGAACAACACTTTGATCGTTTGTAAGAACCAGAGACCGTAGGAAAGATCCACATCAATGCTGTTCCACAAACCAATCTAAACTCTTGCGTTTCTTTTTATCCAATTAAACTGAAGGTCTTACCTTTCTCGCATGCGTTACCAGTCATTATGGAATTAACGTCAAAGATACCCTCGTCGATTTATCGTCAAAGATACCCAAGATGGAGGAGAGAGGAAGATCACTACAAGAAAACTCGTCCATTACTAGGGCAGGTTTTCCTCGTTAGTTCCTAGTAAATGGCCTTTTACTAGGAACTTACGAGGAAACGCGTTTCGTCGAAACACGTTCATCGTAAAGCCTTTTTCCTCGTAAAGTCGTAGTAACCACTTTCCTCGTAATTTCCTAGTAACCATTTTCCTCGTAATTTCCTAGTAAC